CAGAAATATAAAGGTCAGCCCAGAGAAGACTTCTGACCGCGAGGGATCAGGTAGCAACATCTCATGTGGCTGGTGAACCGGCTCTTTGTCAATTCCAGGTATATATTCCTTCTCCGCTGGCCACCATGCATCGAAATCCTCTTCTAGCTTCGAAGGCAAGTAATTGTTTTCTTCATCGACCGATGGAGCAGCCACAACGAGGACTTTATCGAGGAATTCTGTAGTGACGATGTGTTTGGCTGAAGTCAGACCCGAGAGGACTTTGGGAAGGTTCCGTTTCGCGGATATGACGTGGGTGGTCTTGTCGAATACGAAATCGGTTGTAGTCTTGATATCTAGGGTGTGTAGTTGCGCGCTGCGGGCTTTATTCTCTTTTGACTCCTTCGAAGCATATGTAAAGACGACTGGGCGCCAGACGATCTTGAATGGCGCATAGCTGGCAGCCAATCTGATGGTATGTTCGGTGCCTTTCAGGGTCTCGCGGCTGTATTCTATCGACCCATCGGAGGCCTTCTGGCTCTTCAGGGTAGTTTTCTCGTCGATTGTGACTCCCTGCCTGCAACTCAGATCCGTCACCTCAATCTGTGACCTCTTGTGAAGCTTTGTGCCGTCTTCTGGTGCTGCGTCATACACCTTCAGCATAACATGCTTGCGCGAGACCGCCTTGTTGTCGATTTTCCAATTTTTCCCTTGTGGGCCGTCTTTATCGTCTGACTTGGTGCGACCGAACAGTTGCTGTGATCCGGGGCGGAGCCAGACGCGCTTGCCTCCGAAGAGGCTCTCGTGCTCCAGGAACCACATTGCGGGGGCGTCGGTACGAGAGGGCTACAAGATGGGTAGAGAAACGGCGGGTGGGATGCGCATTGTTGTTCTCGCGGTGAGACTGCGCGTGCAATTGTCTCGTGTGGTGTTGGCTGTGTTCACGACTCTAGGCTGAAGTGCGCCGACGCCGAGTCCATGCGCGATGTCGCGGTGTCAGGTGAGACGCTAGCGCTCCTGCTTCCTCTTCACGATCCCAGCAACCGCGATCAGGCATCACCCATCACTGATTTCAGCGTCACAACAAACTTCAAAGTCACCCTTCTAGTGTTACCATGCTATTGCACTAAGCTTGGCGTCTTTGCATGGACCAAAACTGCGACTTTAGAGCTTCACGACTACAATTATCAACCTGGCCAAGGATCCCTAACCCGCAACCACCTATTATACTCATTCTCCCATGCCGAAACTCTTCCTGGACATCCGGTAGATCCCCAGAGACACGCTTTCACGATGAGCTTTCACTTGTGACGTGACGAAGGTCAAATGTCCATTAGGATATCTACAGTATTCTACCAGCAACACGCGCAACCCAAAACTATGACCCTGTTGGGTATCACAAAACGAACAGCAGACGAGCGATGGACCTAAAAATAACGACAACACAACATCTTCATCCATCCCATTTCATGCCTGCACCTCAGACACAGTCTCTGAAGCTTCCCGCATTGCTTGTTTGGCAGCGGCGTTCTTTTCTCTCTCCTGCTGGATTCGCTCAGCGTACAGACTCTTAGCTCTCATGGTAGGGCCCCATTTGTAGATGAAGAAGACCGGGGCGCAAACAAGAGCGGAGATGGCGGACAAGACCCAAGTCGAATTTGTGACACCGAGCTTCTTGTACATCGGACCGGTGTAGAAGGAGCAAATACCGGCAAGGACGTCTCGGGCGAAGCCATTGCCACCGGTGGCTGAAGCGGAATACGTGCCTCCGTACGCGGCAACCATGTAGTCGATCGTGGCGAAGTAGATGGCGAGATTTGCGCATCCGATCAGGACCGCGAAGATGAGGGGCGCAATCCAGGGAAGGGGTGGGCCAGTTACTACAAACGCTGACCCGAACAGGCCAATTGGCAGGAGTAGGACGATCCAGCGGAGGGCTGATAGTCGGCTTTCGGGGCTCAACACTTTCCCGTTGCTGCGCTGCTGGTTGTGTTTTCGGATGACGGGTACGTAGAGCACTGCTGCTAGCCAGTAGCCGATGAAGAGAGCGAACAAGGCGAGCCCTAGCTGACTAGGAGTGAAGCCCCATCCCTCCTTGCCGAACACGTAGCCGTATGACTCGAGGAAACTGAAGATGAGGGCGTCGCTGAATCCACTGAGCAGCGACAGGAAGCCAACGATCGGCTCGCAGACTAGCATCTTGTATGGTCGACCCATGATCTTGCCACATTTCTTGAGGTTCAGCTTCTCCGTCTCGGTCGGACCGACGACATTGGCATCTGGATTCTGCTTGCGTTGCTTCTTGGCTACCTTGTTAAGCATAATTGTCGACCTGGTCTCCGGCACGAAGCAGAAGTGAACGAACTGAACAGTGGCGCCTAGGATAAGCTGGATCCAGAAGTTCCATCGCCAGTGAAGGAATTGCTCGATAGGACCTCCACAGATGCCGCCAATTACTGGAGACAGTTAGCATTCCATTCCTCAGACATCTACGACATGAGCGTTACATACCTGAACCTAGACAGCTCCACAAGCTGACCCAGAGGATAGGGAGCTGCTGATCTTCGGGATCGAACATGTCCGCAACCATTCCGAGTGTGACGGAGCCGCCAGCAGAGCAGATACCGCCGAGCAGACGCGCAGCCAGCACATGGCCCCAGGACGTACTGGCACCGGCCATGATCTGCCAGATGTTGACGGTGAAGAGGGATATCTGCATGACTGGCCAACGTCCGTACTCCTCGGACCAGGGTGCCCATAGTTCGCACCCAATACCGTACAGGATCAAAAACCAAGCCATACCCGCTCTTGCGTTGGTGAAATGGTTGCTGCCGAGATGGTAGTGCTCGTTGAGCGGCCCAATTGCGTTGGAGTAGACCGCTGCGTTGTAGTCTGTCGCCTGTTAGCCTCGTTCGACTAAACGGTTGGCAAGACCACTTACTCATGCTGGTTTGGCAGAGTCCAACGACAGTCAAAATTGCCCATTTCTTCTTGTTTGAGAACGCATACCCGGTCTTCTCATATGCGTTCACTTCGTTGAGCTCCAGGGGGCCGCTGGGTTGGGCTTGACGGCTGTGTGTCGCGACCATCTCTATCGCATCCGCAGCTTGCTTGTTGCGGGGGCCAGAGCCACCAGAACTGGCGTCGCTGTCGTTCCTAACTTGGGTCGTCATGATTTGGGTGTTATCAGTAAGTTCAGTCGTGGAAGTTGAACAGCCTGTAAGACACTGAACTCTAGATAAGGCAGAGTGCAGTCGGCGGTAAATCTGGGAATGTGAAGGTTGAAAGATGGAGAGTGCGGGGAGGCGACAGATCTTATGGCTGGCATGCACGACGGTGGAACTTGGGACGAGAGTCCCAGCTCTGTACTGACAAAGGTCAGCACATATGCAATACACCTCGATGTAGTGGACCCCGTTGACGGAAGCGCGAGACGGCCCGCCCCTTGCTACCATGGTCCTCGAATGCGTCCGCGCACATTTGCTCGCAATTACCAGCATCATTTTCTTCGATTCAATATTAACATATCTCCGCTTTTAAATGGACTCAAGCAGAGATACTACCAGCCTGGAATGGCATCAAAAAACATCTCTCGCAACATTTGCTGCTCGACAGGCGTAAGTTCATGCACACCAACCCCTCCCCAGGAATGAAAGTCTGGTTCGGAACAACGCGGGGAAGCATTACCACTACAACCACTACAATCATGCAGGCACATCACGGGTCGAAACCCCTCGCTCAGAAGTAGCGTACCAGTTTACCATTTCCAGCCATTTTGAGAGGCACGTGAGCAACACCCTCTCGCGTATGCTCCCCACACTCTATCTACATCGCTCTCCATTGGCCCGAGCAAGTGCGCAAGTCACATGAACAATACCTCATCACCACCTCACGATGCTCCGCCTCTCCAGCCGCGCATATGATTATCAGGACCAGTCGAACACACCGTCCCCCTCATTACTGCCATCATCGCTCCACTCCCACTCTTCATTACCCCACGGCCGCAACGGTGTCCAACTGACTCCCCTTTTGCACTCAAACTCGCGCTGTAGAACTTGGAAGTGCGCGTCCAACTCTGCCCTCAACTGCATAAAAGCCGCCTTCTCGTCCTCGGCACGGGATGTCGAAGTTATGTGGGTCGTATGGTTGCGTATCTCATCTTCGCTGATGGGTTTGAAGAGATGCACCAGTGGCCGGGATTCGACTGGGGGACGGGAAGTGGAGTCGCAGTTAAAGGATGTGAGTGTGATGGATGGCTTGCCGTCCTGTTCCATCTCGAACGTCTTTGTGTCTGGCATAGGCGTACTTCTTTCGCTTGAGTTCATATGCTTTGCATAGTCGTAGGCCATCTCTAGGTTGATCGAGGAGTCGCTATTTACCACTTTGGTACTGAAAGCGCCCCGTGTGGCTTCGTGCTGCGAATCTTGGCGTTGCGTTGACATAGCGGCGCTGATACTCAGCTATTACCAGCATGAAATGAAGAGTTGTGTCACTTCTATACGCACTACAAACGCGAGGTTGAAACGTCACAAGCAAGCAGTCAGTCGCATGTCTCTCTGTTCGGAGACAAACGCTCATTGTTCGGTGATCAGCAAACGACCAACAATGAGTGGTATCAAAGGATTTGCCACGAGACTTCACAGTGCACGAGTTGTCTAGATGCGCAATGATGTTCGTGTCATGTATTGTTTCCACTGGTGGCGACGACATGCGTATGCACCAGTCGCAGACGTCGCTCCTACTGTGCGACGATGTTCACCAGTGTCCTACCCCATCGAGTAGCAGAGTCCTTCCACTTTGACCACAGTAGTCAAGAAGATGGGCATACTAATGATCAAGATAATCCTTCCCCGAAATTCCGACTCCTCAATCAGCACCGAGCCTTGAATGGTGCGGGCGGACGTCCGCTCGTGAAGTGAGAGCCTGTATGTGTTTGTGATTAGCGTGAGTCTGCCAGGAAAGGAAGTATATGCATACCACATAAGCCGCCGTTTCAATGCACACCCGGGATGTGACACAGTTCATGCCGATCCCATAGCCTCCCACCATTGCTGGTGAGCAGAGCAGACCTTGACAAAGTATCTGTCAAGCTCGGCGCGCTGCATAACCATGAGCTCGCGCTCAGGTGCCACCTTCTCAAGATCCATCTCATGCTCCATTGCGCGTATGAGCATGATATTCTTCTTGGCTTCGTGGTCGAGAGGAGCGCGGTTGGTGGTGTTGGTGGTAGCGACAGTCGTGGGTTGGATACTAGGCGTGGTAGACTTCTTAGCAATGCATGCGTTGAGCAAATCTTGTTGCACGCGCAAGCCCTAGAATCTGTTAGTGGATATACATTGCATAGATGTGTTGAGACTCACTTCTTCAACATGATCGATACCGGTTTCTGACATAGCCACCTTCCAGGCCAAAGCCTCGCTCTTGGCGTTGACCTGTTCGTCAACTACCTTGACTGGCGCCTCGAACACTTTCGCGTTCGGGTTCAGGTCTAGCGAGCTGAGTTGTTTGTGAGCTTGGACGAGGTCGTCGGTCTTGGTCCTCAAATGAGGAGGTATCGACTTCTTGCGGATGCTCTCAGGGCGAGGGCTCTTTGTACTAGCAGTCAACGTATCCTGTCCAGCGCCTTCTTGCATGGCTTTCTCAATAGCGACAGCCCAATCTGGCGGTTGGCTCTGGGTGGGTGATGCTGAACTTGTGGAGGCCTTCGGTTTTACTGGGTTCTCTGGACGGCGAGAGTGTGATACGAACATTGACTCCATCGTTCCCTTAGGAGGACCCGCGACACGTGTGGCTGGCTTGATCGCGGACAGCTTGGGCCTAGAGGTCTGAACATGTTCTTTGACAGCGTTCGCTGGAGGTGAAGCGGGACTAGCACTTTGGATCACGTCTCGAGGGAAGCCGGTGCTGCGTGCAGCTGGAGCTGGCCACTGGCCGATTCCACGGCCCAGAGAGCTTCCGTTCACGGATGAAGATGAGGCACCAAGCTGGGTTGTGGCAAGCATCTTCGCTTCCCGTCGGAACGATTTACTGCGGCGGTCGTGTTCCGGATCGCGATTGAAGCGCGGGTCCGGAAGACGTCCAGGCCTAGCGATGCTGTCTGCATCCGGTTGCCCTATATCGCTAGGTCAGCGTGCGTGACGAGAATTCTCATGTCTGAGATTACATACACGTCTCAGCCTCCGGGGGCGGTGCAGGGAAGGCATCCCATACAAAGGCCGGGGCCGCGCTCACTATACATCTGTCAGTTCCCACGCCAACATAGCAGCAGATTGACCTGCAGCGTCATCGAGCAAGCTCACCTGTATTCTTGGGCGTGAGGAACGGCATTCTCACTATGTGAGCGCGAGCGCTAGGAGATACTGAGTTCGCAGATGTTGAGACAAGGTTGGAAGAAGAAGTGCGGCCAAACCCTGGAGGTTGTTGACGAGGCAGCCGGCTAGCTCTTGCCGCCGATTGGAGTCGAGGTGAGCGCGACTTCCCAAAGCGGAAGCAGCAGCCTGGAGCACCAGCAGCTGAAACCTTTGCTGGGTGACCACGAAATGACGTGGACCTGCTAACTTCGAAAGACCAACAGGTAGGCGCGGACTCAACTAAGAAGCTTACTCGAATGGATTTATAGCTATGCGATGGAAATTTGTGGATATTGCTGTACGTGAAAAGACTATGCTCGGAAAAGCGAGATGACAAGATGATCTGAAGACTAGAGGATAGAAGAGGATGTAGGACTGGAGAGAGCAGAGTCACGTCACGGGGCAACGGCGTCTCTCACCTCGGGAGGGACATAACATGTTTGACTTCCCACAGCTTACCAGGATAGATAAATGCTCTTTTGAGTTACTGGAGTTTTGCAGATATGGAGTAGTTGGAAGCTTCTTGTTGTCCTTATCAGGCCCGAGCGGAGGCCATGAATGAGGGTGAGATTGAAGACAACGGGGGTGATTCGTCGCAAAGCTCGAAAGCTGCGCTTGCGACCTCAGAGAACGCGTCTTTGTCTACGGCTACGTTGTCATCCAGATATGCGTGTAGCTCCTCTCCTGGATGATGTGCCCGGCGAGGTTTGTGCTGCCTCAGAAGCGGTGCCGCTAAGAGCCGGCCGCTAACCAAATTGATCGTTGATGACTACTAACTACTATCCCACGTGAGACCGCGACAAGCGGAGATCTATTTCTACATCTGATCGTCGTGCACACAGGTTCGTTGGGCTTTGGGATTTCGCGTAGGCATCGTTCGACGGTTCAGGGAACGCAATCACTCCTACGCACCGTACTCACGCCCTGAGTTTGCTTGCTTAACCACCTGCAGCGGCTGTTGCGCGTGGTAAGCTGCTCAAGGCTGCGAAAGCACGCACACTGGGTCTCCACGACCAGCTTCACTCACTTTCCTTTCTTCGTCATTCTTTCATTTAACGAGTCGCTACCTTAATTGGTAATAGGTGGATCAAACTGCACCTGCCACAATAGAGCAGCCTCGCACTTTCTTCGGTTGCGGCGAGGGAAACTTGCTCTCCCCAATCCGAACTCGCCATTTTCGCACTTCTCTCAAAAGTCATCAACTTCTTCCGCAAAATGGCGGGAAAAGTCACTTATTCACGGCGCCCGAACAAACGCCGCGCACCTCACGACCGCGATCCAGCAGATGAGAACGACGACCGTCACAAGCGGAATAAAACAAATACCGAGCCAAATGGATCGCGGCTACCGACACCACCCTCAAGCCGACGAGGAAAGAAATCCTGGTTCAACGGTCCCGTCTCCATTCCTGATGACGACATGAACCCTCCGCGCTCCATCTTCGATAAGGTTCTTGAAAACAAGAAGCATCAGGCCCCAAAGCCGCATCAGCGCAGTGTCCAGGGTGACCGTGAGAACTTCAAAGGCCTTATGAAGACGGGACAAAAGTCGAGAGAACAAAACGGCTGGGCGAGGAACGGCTCTCTGCCAACGCCACCAGCGGAGGCCCAGAAGAAAGCCCACCAGCAAGCACGGAGAGATGAGAATTTCGCGCGGTACAAAGGAACTATTCACAGGAACGAGCCGGCGATACTAAAGTCATCGCCCACGGCGCCAAACCAGACATCGCGGCTCTTCGAGCGGGTCATTAAAAACGAGCAGCCGAAAGCACCATATAAGCCGAAGGCATACAAAGCTGAGGAGATCGCAGCACCACGGCGAACTATAATGGGGGAACGTCTGTCTAGAAGTTCAGACCAAGCCCGCAAGTACGTCTCAGACACCACTGACCTCATGCACAGGACTGACTGTATCAGATTCAAAACGAACCAGACCGACTCGCCTCTCCTGCAGCTCCCCGAAAACGTGAGGAATCTCATCTACACTTACACACTTGGTGGTAAGACTATCAACATCGGCTACCAGACCTATCACCTTACCTTTGATCCCACAAAGCCCAAAAAGGTAAAGCGGGTTACTCCTATCTTCAAGTACCAGTGCACAGTATACGATGGTACTCAGAATCCCTTTAAGACGATATCCCAGCCCTGGGTCAAGAGGCCCACCGTGTTTACCTTGCTCAACGGTGTCTGCCGTCAGATGTACCAGGAAACAGCGACGCTGCCTTACAGGCTCAACCTAATCGCGTTCGACTCGTATAGCATCATGTTCAACTTCTTGTTCCTGGAGAGCCGCCTGCACCGCGAGCATCTCGATGCCTTCACCGAGCTTTTACTACCGAACCAGCTACCCGGGTCAAATGCACTCGCCCGCTTGAGCAACGTCAGCAAGGTGTATCTAGGAGTCACACAGGAGGGAAAACCTAAGGGGTGGTACCGTGTAGTGCGTACTCAACGCGAGGAGCCGAGACTTGCAAGAGTCATGAAGTAGTGTGAGGCATGCATGGTAGCATGAATGTGCACATGTTGGCTTGAAAGGAGTTTCGGTGCGACTGTATGGCATTATTGTTTATTAGTTGCATGATACCCGGTATGGCAACGACGTTATGATCCAGCTACACGCCACCATCTCATGGGCGAGGCCAGTATCCATCGGGTAGCTTGAAATAGATTCTCAGAACAGAGGCGATTTGCTGCATGGACAGTTGCGTTGTTTCTTTCCTTTTTTGTACACGTATAGAGGTATAGAGTGTTGAGTCAGTTGGGTGTGAGTCTGACATGTGAAAGAGGCGCCAGCTGTAAGCCGGTCCGTCCGCCTATGCGAATGGCCACGACTGACTGTGGCACACCCATATTCTTTTTTGAGGGTGCATTGTCTCATGCATAGAGCCTCGTGGACTCACAAGATCGAAGATGGCGGTCAAAACAGGTAGGGATGGCTGCCCCACGTCTGCAGCTTTCTCCAGATCTGCCGTCTGCAGCGCGGGATCGCGATTTCGGACGAGTAACTATTCGCGGCGCTACACGGCCTTTCTGAACTAATGCTGCGTGCCCAAAGTTCACAATTAAGGGCTCTTGGGAGTCGAGCACATCAACAGGTGGTCAGAGGACTCTCGGCCTTTGATACCAGCTACACGTAAGACACATGATCCATGGTGCATGTGCAGTAGTCTGCCAACACTGGACCTGCAGGTACAGGTGGAAGCTGCGTGTCGTATCAGCGTCGGTTGACGACTACTGCCGACGCGACACCCTCGCCGGCTTTGTTTAGTTGATCCTTGCCGATGACGATGTACCATGCGCATGTCCCCACGCTCCCTAGCATGCGCTGCACGCATCGAATACTTCAAAGGCGTCAATGCCGACCTTTCTCGCGCTCGTTTCGTCGTCCGGCGACAACATTGCACAAGTATTGAAGTGGCAAGCCTGTGACGCACCTTCCGCGACTTGCGCGACCGAGGCGCATGACCACCCGCAGTTGACCATCTCCGGCCACCCTACACCGCGTCTTCTCGAAAAGCACTATTACTAGGCTACAGGCTCCCTCGACCGCGACAGACTCCCTGGAAACCGACTTTCCTACTTCGACACCACCGCACGCTGCCTTCACGACCACTCGATCTACCGATCCTCCTACCACCGGCTAAGCCAGGCTTCGTAGGATTCGCGCATGGCGTGTACCGGCGCTCGATGTCATTGCTGTCTGACACCATCTTTACAGGCGGCAGTACGCGACTGCACGTAAGAGGAGGACAACATGGGCAGAAATCCATAAGGAAGAGCAAAAGCCATGGCGGCTTCCTCGGACCCCTGGTGCAGCTGGCCAGGAATCCGTTGGGGACTCTGGGCGACCCAGTGGGCGACTACCATGTTCCTGAATTAGCCGTGGATGCTGCGGAAGCAAATCGTAGGCAGGTCCTGTACCTGCACATGAAAGACGTGGGTTCCTCAGATTGGTCGTGCCCTTTCACATGCTGACGAGATCGCCACGCAGGCCGAGACATACGACCAATGGAAAGCCGCCGCGACCGAGCTCGATATCCTAGAAGGAAACGAAGCCTGGAAAGAAGAGGACGACACTCCGGAATACAATGTGGATCTGGTTGCTGCCCGGCTGAAAGAGCTGGACGATGCTCGCATGAGCTGCGACGTGAAGAGGATGCTGTTCCTGATCAGGACCACCCTCACACGCGGTTTGGGTGACATGGGCGACCTGCGTCTGTACAAGCACTCGCACATTGGAACCAAGCGTCTGATCGAGAGGTACATCGAGTCGGCTCAGCAGACTATGGCCGCTTTGCTGGACGTCTCGGAGAAGCAGGGAGATCAGTGTCCTATCGAGCCGCGGCGACTGGTCGATCAACTGCTTCAAACACGCCAATCATTCGGTAGGAGCGCATTGTTACTCTCAGGCGGTGGGACCTTTGGGATGAACCACATCGGCGTTGTTAAGGGTCTTTGGGACGCTCGTCTTCTCCCACGCATCATATCGGGAGCCTCTGCAGGAAGCATCGTCAGTGCGGTCCTATGCGCAAAGACCGATGCAGAGATCCCGGAGGTTATGCACCAATTTTGCTTTGGAGACTTGAACGTATTTGAAAGCCCGGATCACCCAGAAGGCCTGATCAACAAAGCAATGCGCTTGATGAAGTCTGGAGCTCTTTTTGACATTGCACATCTCATGAGAGTTATGCGTGATCTGCTAGGCGATTTGACCTTTCAAGAAGCATACAACCGGACTCGACGTATCTTGAACATTCCAGTTTCGACTTCGTCGCTCTACGAATTGCCCAGGCTCTTGAATTACATCACAGCGCCGAACGTGATGATCTGGTCTGCAGTGTAAGTTCACGAAACCAAGGAACCATTATGGCTATGCTAACGCTACGTAGATGCACGTCTTGCTCAGTTCCGCTCGTCTACAAGAAGGCATCTCTGCTGGCCAAGGACCCGAAGACCGGCCTGGAAGTACCTTGGGATCCAAACCCTGACGCGACGTGGATCGATGGCTCAGTAGACAACGACCTACCGATGACCCGGTTGGCCGAGATGTTCAACGTGAATCACTTTATTGTCTCGCAGGTCAACCCACATGTTGTTCCCTTTCTGGCGAAAGAGGAGGAGATTGTCGCTGCAGAAGCCCAAGGCGCCGCCAGTGGTCCCGGTTGGATGAGTCTCTCAGCTAGTCTTTGCAAGGGTGAGGTAATGCACCGCCTCCAACAGCTAGCGGATACTGGATTCCTCCCAAACCTTGTCACAAAAGGACGTTCGGTACTGAGCCAGAGATACTCAGGCGACATCAACATCTTCCCCAAGATCAACTACGCGGACTTCCCTAGAGTCTTGAGCAACCCCACGCCCGAGTTCATGGTCGGATGCATGCTCACTGGACAGCGAGCTACGTGGCCAAAGCTCTCGCGGATACAAAATCATGTCGCCATTGAGCTCGCGTTGGACGACACGATCCAGAAGCTCAAGGGACGACTCGTCTTTACACCACAGCAAGACGTCAATATCAGGCGGACCAGCTCTCAGGATAACGATCTCGCTCAAAGAAAGCGAGCGAAATCGACGCATAAGATGACGCGCTTCGAGCTCAGGACGGAGCCTCCTAGCCCTGTGCTGCGGAAGTCTGCACCCACCAGTCCTCTCTTGTCTCGTGCAGCCTTGAGAGCGTCCTCCCAACCGCTTTCCGTTGCGAAGCAAGCTCAAGGCGCAAACAACGCAAGGCGCCAGTGGACCGAGACCATCCAACTCGATCCCATGTCGTCCACGAACGACACGTCTGACCACGACTACTTTGCCGATCCCGAGTCAGACACTACAGACAGGCTCTCTTCACCCTCGCCTTCTACATCGCCCACCTTCACCGGTCCCACTCTCTGGCCTTCAACCCCTCAAGCCATGATGCAAGCCGCCCCACAGCCCACGCTACAGCCCACGCCACAGCCAACTCAAAGTCCGCTCAGTCGTCGTACCAACACGCTGTTCAACCTCACCATGACCTCGGCCGCAAGGTCCCCCTCCAATCCAAACGTACCAAGCTCACCAGAGCTGCGGTACAAGCGCCTATTCCACCCTCCAGGGCCCGCTACACCCGATGTTAGTGTAGGCCCACCGATACTGGATGTAGAGCCCGTCAATACAACACGTTCTCCGTCTGCTAGCAGACCTGGTAGCCGTCGCGGCAGTGCATCGGGTCTGCCAATCGATCCATCAGGGACGAGGGGCATGCTGCTAAGGAAGAAGAGTTACATGTAGCGTGGATCGCTGAGCTTGATGTCTTTTTCGCGATTATCCTTCTTATACATAGTCTTTCACATTCTGTTCACCCTTTGACCTTCTTCACACACCTTTTCATTTGTTCAACCAGCATGGAAGGCGAATCAGATAGGTCGCCATACGATCCGAGAGAGTAGACTGGAATACCAACAGCAACAGCACACAAGAGTAGTGATACCCCTTCCGTGTACTGTATCTCTATAAACATACATAAGACGTAGCAGAGACCAGATCATACAGATGATGATATAAATACACAATACAAATCCAACATTACACGTCGCCATCATCATTACCTCCATCCCTCACCCGTTCATTACCCACCCATCAAACCATTCATTCATTCATTCATTCGTTGACCCCTCCCTCTCCGTCTCCCTAAAAACCTGCTTAACCTCCTTCCCCCTCCACCGCTCAAACAACTCATATCCAAATACCAACACAATCGGTAAACTCACCATTATCGCTGTGACACGGCGCGACGCGGGTTTGTATTTGGGTGGCAGCCTGATGTCGGGTGTGGGCTCGATGAGGCGCGTGGGGTGTTGGCGGTGCGGTGGGGACGGAGGTGCTTGTTGGTTTGAGGGACGGATGCTGGTTGGGTAGGGGTTTGGCGGTATGTGGCGGGTGGAGGTTGTGGGTTTTGAGAAACGTGGGTATGGGTTTGGAGGTGGGGAGACCGGTGAGGGTGCTTTTGTGGGGTGTGAGGGGAGGGGGATTGTTGTTGGGCGTGGAGTGGTGGGATTCGTAGTCGGTTTTGGAGGAGGAGGCTTCGTGGATGCTGATACTGCTGGTTTCGACGGCGGGGACGCTGGTTTTGTTGTCGGTTCCTGGGTCTGGGGTTGTGGCGGCGCAGTCTTCTTGTCCGTACTCGACGCTACCTTCTCCACGACCTTCGCAGCAGACTGTGCCTTCTTGAACGTCCCTTTCGCTTGTACCTCCTCTAATATCTTGCTTGTAGACGGTGCGACGGGCGTGGGTTGTTCGAGCGCAATTGGCGACTGGGGCGCATCTTTCTTCGCGGCAGGAGTTGCAGGAGGAGCAACCGTCTTTGCGCTTTTCACAACCGTCTTCTTCTCTTTCTTGACCTCCACAGGTTTCGCCTTTCCAGCGGGCTTCGCGGCGACCTTCTTTACGGCCGCCTTGCTCGCTTCGACCGCTGGTATCGCCCCCGCATCCTCGGCTACGACTTTCTTCGGGCGTCCGCGTTTCTTAACCGCTGGGGGTTCACTCGGTGGTACTGATGCCATTGTCGCTGTTCAATTGGCGTGCAGACAGCATGCGCAACGTGTCTGAGAGAGTAAGGAGGGCGAAATGGGCGTTGCGACACGGCGACTAGGGCGGGCGCATTTCGAGGGGTGAAGCGGGAAATTTTGGGCGAGTATGATTTAGGCGGAGATGAGATGCGATGCAGGGATGCGCGCGCATCCAACGGTTCGTAGCGTGTCTGGGGACAGGCGTGACTTTGCTGCATGGCGACTAGTTTGCATGAAGATAGCTAGGCACTCCATGTGTACTTCATTTCATTCATTCAGATATCTACGTTACAGCATTTACAAACTCCATGACACGTGTTATACCGGCAATTCAATCCAACACCATCAACGCCTTATCGTATCGCAATTACTTCTGCGCTTCTTCCCTCTTCACTCTGAAGAAGGCCAGTTTGGCGAAACGTCCTAATTGTCCCCAGTAGTGCCGACCAGCAGAGTGGTCCATGATTCTCTCTAGTAATCTCACGACTGCCATCCTGACATCCTGTCGGGGATGAAACAAGCCTAGACTAAGATAGAAGAGGCCAGCATCTGGGATCACACAGAGCAGCTGCAGGATGGTGTCGTACTGGAGCTGCGAATTCGCCTTGCGCTCAGAGTCATTCGCGATGGAAAGTGACTGGGCCATGGACGACAAATCACTCGAAGAGGCATTCGCACTCTCACTAGGTGGTGAACCCGCTTCTTCAACGCACCGCGCGAGTGCAAGATAGATGCCCGCAGATTGATCGTGCGTAAGTTTCAAGCATCGCAGCTTGTCGTGCTGGTGGCCAATGTCAAGACCACGCACTGGTCTCTTCTTCCAATGTCTCGCTAGATCTTGAACGCAGCTGTAATAACTCCTTGTGTTGCGCCAGCCCTCGATGCGGTGTACATTTGCAGCGAGCTCGCGTAGCTTGTGGTTCTCGTCTGGCCAGACGTAGCCATGTCCAGAGACACCATATGCGCCAACGTCGGTCTCGTGGGAGCCAATGTACAATGCCGAAGCGCCATAGACCGTCTCTTCGAAAGCGGCCGCGATGCGGGTGAACTTGAGCACCCACGAACGCCACTTCGCTCGGATGGCATTCTCGCCGTGACGGTTGGCGATGCTCTCGAGAAGTCTGTCCATAAATTGGGTGTCGCCGGTAGGGTCGACGCCGCCGCCCTTGCCGTCAAAGGCTGGTGGTGCCCCTGGCCCATTCAGTGGTAGGCCCTGTTGCTGGAAGAACATGGACCCCTCTGTGGGTGATGCCGTTTCAATGCGATTGCTGATCTTCATGCGACCGGTCGGCAGATCGCAGAGCAGATCCCACCACTCGGGCTTGTAGGAGAAGGCGGGGTTGGTGACGCCAGCAATAAAGCCAGGTACCTTCAGCAGGTCATCTACTTTGGTAAGATCGGTATATGGGAACGCATGGCGAACGAAGCCACGGAGAATGCCACCAGAGGCCAGAGCACATGCTGCCAGTACAGCTTCAGCGACTTCGCCTGAAGGACGATTATGTCCGATGAAGATGATGCGTTTTTGTGTGAGGAGGGCGTTGACGAGGACGATGATGGGGTGAGTGAATGCGCCGCTCGTAGTCAGATGTGGGTGTAAAGCGAAGGGCTGCGGTTGCGCAGCATGAGGCGCGGAGAAGGTTTGGATGAGCTTGATCAAGGAGAAGTCGCCCACAGTCTCTGGACTCAGAGCGGTGGGTATCTTGACGGGGACAGGTATGCCGTTGTAGTTGATCTTGGACTCGAACTCGTGCGTGTCTCGCGGGACAGTGTATGTCTTCTTGCGCGACTGAGGATCTGAAGATGTTTCGACAGAGTCTCTCGCTGCATCGAGCTTCTTCCGCTGCCGGACCATGAGCTCGAACTTCTCCACGAACATGTCTTTTGCGTCGCTGGCGCCAAGCACGAAGTTCTCCAGGGGGGAGAGTCTCGGGAGAAGTGAGAGGTCCATGGCATTGAGGGCGTTGTATAGAGATTCGAGGGTCTCCAGGACAGGTGCCCTGAAGTATTCCTCAAGAGCCAGCAGTAGCAGGGGCTTGTATATGTGCAGGAAGGGATGGCGCGTGCATATAGCCATGGCTTTGACGATGGCACCTCTACATAGTGTTAGTCTTGCCAAGTTTATGGAAATGTTATTCCTACCTCTTCACTGTATTGTCCTGCTTGGTGTTGACAAGGTTCAAGACATAGACTAATGGGGGCCCGTCGGGGTCTGGCTCCCCCTCGCTTTCGGTGTCGTCGTCGCCGTCATCGTATTCGTCGTCTTGCTCTTCAGTACCGGCAGTCGCATCGTCGTCGCCGTCGTCTTCCAGGCCCTCTTTCCGCCGCCGTCTCCGCCTCCTGCGCTCTCTCCGTGCTTCGCGCTCCTCCTCTTCGGCTGTGGTGTCCTTGTGCAGGAAGAAGATGGTCCAATCTTGACTGCGTACGTGCGCCTGATCGGGCAACATGAGCTCTGCTAGCATAGTCTCGTCTCCACTGATAGCCGCCGGGTACTGGTGCTCCATGATGGAGCCGCGGTCAATGTCGAACGAGGCGACCAGGATGTACTCGACATGGTTCTCAACTGCGTCGGCGGGATACTGCGAGCGCAACTTGGCGGTTCCTCTGGGAATGGCGGCCATGGAGGACTGGTACGACTCGTCGTGCGAGGACTGGATCGAGTCGTCTTCGTCGCCCTCGCGGAGCATGGGGGGTTGCGGGGAGCGAGCTTTCGGGTGGTGGCCATTGCGGGTAGAGGGCGATCGCGAGGGAGGGAACGAGGAGAAGGAGGGCTGGCGCTGCAGGGAAACAGGCTGAGCGGCATTGGGCCCGCTTGGCCGCTGTGCGATTACTTCAGCCATGAGTGTCTCCATCTTCTTCTGTACGGGCACCTGGCGACTCGGATGCTACATTATAGATCGACGGCGCTAGGGGAGCCTAATGTAACCGTCCCGAAACAACATGACGCGCTGTAGCTGGCGGCGATGGGGGATTGATCCAGCAGGCCGTGGGTCTGGGAGCGTGAATGGCTACCGCATAGTATCCGGAGCTGTGACTATGCGTGTGACCCGCTATGCTGCCCGCAGAGAGTGAACGAACCCTGCATGCCCACGCCAATTACCCATGTCAGCTTATCGATAGGCTCGTTGCTAGGCCATCCCATTGACAACACCAAACAACGCGACGACCAGCGACATCTCCAAAACGAATATACGCACCATGGTATGCTGGACCCTTGTGAACTGTATGAATGCGACTAATCCAGATATGCAGTCTACAACGCCAACGCCCTACAAGCCCTCGCCCCTCTCCTTCAACAGCCCGCGCCAGTCGCCCTTCCGCAGACCAGGCTCCATCAGAGAGAGCTCACCATCTACCCTGCGACCATCGACGCCAAACAGTTCGCCTCTAAAGCCCAAAGAGACTCCGACATCCCCTGCGCAGACCCCCAACCGTCTGTCTATCGGGGGCAACCCATCGCAAAACCCGCCATCCTGGCTGAATGCACGGGGGACGACGGGCACCCCAGAAGCGCCCAATTCGCCTTCTCGAAATCTCTCGCCTGGACGCAATGTCTCGCCAACGCGGAATGTTTCCTCGTCTTCGCAGATGACGGTGCGCCCTCTAAGCACATCATCCATCGCAGCCAAGTTCGAGGCCGCCGGGAGGGACGACGCACCACCGCCTCTCTTCAGCAGAAAGAAGTCACCACCTGTCGAAAATACCGAGCCAATTGAGAGTTTCAAGCCAGCCGAGATTCATACTCCGGTTGAGGAGCTCAAGCCGGCGGAGACATACAAGCCAGTTGAGACGTTCAAGCCAGTCGAAACCTTCAAGCCCGTCGAGACCTTCAAGCCTGTCGAGACATACAAACCCGTCGAGACCTACAAGCCAGCAGAGCGCACAGCGCGACCAGCACCCATGCAACGCATGGCCTCCAGCGACGCCCTCTCCAAACTGCCCCCACCCCTCCTCCACAGCATGCGCGAATCCTTCAGCGTCATGGACCGCGACGACGACGGCCACGTCAACTCCGCCGACGTCGCAGACATGCTCTCCCAACTCGGTCTCTCGGCCACCCCCTCCCAACTCTCCACCTACTTCAACGGCGCACAATCCATCAACCTAGCGACCTACCTGACAACGCTATCCGACCTCCTCGGCAACCTCTCCCACCAGAATGAACTGACCGCCGCGTTCGAAGCCTTCGATGATAATGACGATGGGCAAATTGATCTGGCGGAGCTGAAGGACGCGCTGTTGCATACTGCGCCTGAGGCTGGGGAGAGGAAGTTGACGGAGCGGGAGATTGATATGGCTATTGAGGGGTTTAGTGGACGGAGGGCTTTCGCTAAGGGAGGGAAGAGTTTGGGTAATAGGACCGAGGTGTTTAGATGGCAGGAGTTTATGTCTAGTCTTACTGGTGGGGGTGGTAATGGTGGTGAGAATGGCGAGGGTGCTGCTGCGCCGGCGTAAATATATCCACGGGAGGCAAGTGCAATTGGGTTCTGGGTTTGAATTGGGATTTTGGGTTTATGCGCAAACAAGTGCGGTTTTATGTATACCAACGAGTATTTGATTTATGCACGAGCAGCGCTTATTGTTCTCTTATCCGATAGTGTCATTTCCTGTGCCTGCCATTGAGATCGTATACTCTGTGAGTGGCTCAGCGTCCAGGGTTCAGCGCAGAATCGACCAATGAAGTAGAGCACAGCATTTCCAATATTGCTCTTCTGACACACTCCCTTGAAACTAGGTGTGTGTGTGTGTGTGTGTGTGTGTGTGTAAAAGAATACTTAATCGCTCAGATGATACCGGAGTCAGGCTGCATGCAACCCGAATTCAACCCGAATTCATGGTTGCCAAAGGCTCATGATATCTGGAGCGCGGGCCCAGATCTTTCTTTGAAGTCCTTCAAGATCTCGAGAATGAACAAATCAATCGCTTTTGTAAAGCCTTTGGTCTCCCTATAACCCAGCAACGACTTGTAGATCCACCGCAGATCCAGCAAGTCGTCTGTTCTCTCGATCTTGGTATGTCTGGCCTCCTCCTCCCTCTACTCCCCATGCACTGTTCTGAGAAGTTTCCTACGAGCGGCCCGCGTCTTTATCTCATTAGATGTATACTTCCAGTTCGAATAAGCTCCGGGACGTGTCCAATATGCATTTTGGAGTTTCTTGTAGCGTTCTAGATTTTCCTGTAACTCATGATCAGTGTCCGGGTCGTGTACGGGTGGACGTTCTGAAGCACGGTCAATGCAGTGGACGATCGCATCGACGATGACGGTGGGCGAGATGTCGGTCGTTGTTCTAGTGAGTTTGAGTGAGGGGTCGGGATTAGGACCCAGACTTGCGTCAGTATCGGAACCCCATGTCTGCCATCCGGGTGCAGAGCATACTACTCTGAACAGCGGAGTCAGTTCGTCCTTCTGATTTTTCCTGGATATTTCGAGAGAATGGGTTGTGGATAGGTGATTTCCGGAACGCTTGTGTTGTCGAATGTACTGAACAGTAGCTGGTTGCATTTGTTAGTCTTGGATATACATACAGTAGACCAATACAAAGTTCATGTCGCTGCGCGATAAGTGCTTGTCGTGTTTTGTTGTGTCCATAGTCATGTTGACTATGAATCGGAAAAAGCAAGCTTGTGCGCTTCATACATGGAGCTTACCTGATGAATCCCGGAGATTGACCTGTCTCTTCTCGAATATGCGTGCCTCTGCTTTTCCATGCCAGCCCTCGAACCACACTGTACCCTCTCTGAGATCGATATGCAGGTTCCCGGTGGGGCTCTGTGAGACCGGTTGCATGCGACAGCAAGTCATGTATAGATGAGCTGGCCATGGTGGAGGAGATTCGTGTGATGTTTTCGCGAGTTTGTGTGGCTTCGGCTGCTCAACGTCTTCTGTCGCTTTGCGTTTGAGGCCGCTCTCTTTGTCGACCATTGATGAAAAGATGCCGGGTTCTTCCTTTGGAAATTTGGTCGTGATCGCAGGCTTGATCATAGGCTTGACTATAGGCTTGACGGGGCGGGTTTCCGTTGTCGATATAATGCTAAGACCAGACACTGGAGGCTGAACGATGCGTTCCAGGATGGGATCGGTGCTCACGGTCTGGATAGTACTGTTCGACAATTCGGATTGCACAGCAACCTCGGGCATTGTCTGCGTAAAGGCACATGCTGTCATGCTACCCACACTGGAGCAGCGCAAGCCTTGGAATGTCCAGTCCACGACTCCGCCATTCTCACCTTGATAATTTACCTTGAGCATTCCATCGTTCTTGATCAGGCGCAGACCCAGTCCTACAGCGCTTAACTCAAGGCTGGATCTCATTTCTGTGGTAGTGTCGTCAAAGACTTCGTCTGCACTGTCCTCAAAGTCTTTGCCATCCAGTACATAGACCATTGGCTTTCTGTTAGGCCGTTCGTGGAGTATTGTCAGTATGCCGGGCTGTAGGTCGTAGATGAAGAGCGTGAGTCCAAGGACAATGACGGGCAAGCCTCTCGTCTTCCTGATCATCTCGTATTTGTGAGCACGATGGCGGAAGCTTGGTTGGGAGAACTTTGAGAACAACCACGTCGGAAGCTTTGACAAGTATCTCGAAGAGCGAAAGTAGCGAGGAGGTTGTGAAGCAGGTGAACATGAGATCAGTAAACTCGGGTATAAGAAGCAGGAGAGGCAAAGGGTCCGCTATCACTTGGATGTCTCTCATCTGTGCATGGTGAAGTTCGTCTCTCACCGTAGATCTGAATCTGACCTGCTCACCTCCTTCATGATCAGGGCACGAGGTGAAGGTCGTCAAAGAATTGGCTACGATGCCCGGTCTGGACATGATGTCACTCTAGGATGCTGTGTCTGTCATCTCACGACTGCGATGAGTTCTGAATCGGAGATAACATTCCCGTCTTCTCTGAGCTCGTAAAACGGAATCGAATGTCGTCACTTCCAACATTGAGGCTCTGCAAACGTGAACGGGCTACGCTCGGCGATGAATGTTCGGGCTGATGGCACAACATACCAGCCTCTTCCTTTCTCAAGCCGGCCGGATTGATCCCGAGACGGGCCATGAACAATGACGGTGAGCAAAGATGGGAAACAAAGAACATGTTGGTCCATTAGGAGCCGTTGCCGTGGTTCATGCATGGATGGAGGCCTTGAGAACCCTGTTGCTAGCGTAGGCTGGACACGTCCGGTGGCTCCTGCCATTGGAGGACGGTACACGTGATGTACAACACATCGGCGCGGATTAGAAAGCTCCAAAAATTGCCATCCACTCGTTGGATAATGGCTGTGAATAGTGTTGAAATAGACCTGAAAGCGGCTAGCACTGGTGAGCTGGCCGAAAGAGGTCGCAGCTATAATATGTCATCGGGCGCCCATTGGTTTAGACGTTGCAGCACAGACGCAGTTCGCGCGCTGCATGAGCGATTGGAGAGCTTCCACCATTTTATATCTTGACCCGACCCCTCCTCACATCCCACCGTTGCTCCATACCGAACATGAGTGGCCCGGGAGAAAATCGGTACGTCTGAGCAATGCGCACGCGAAGCTGCGGGAGCCTAAGATACTGACAACTGCGACAGCTGGCGGCGGCAGGGTCAAGCCAACCGCAACTCCAACTCGGGCGCAAACACCCCCACCAAGGACAATGCAGGCCGGCAGCAGGCCATGCCAGCGCCCACGGGGAACGTATGGGGAGCCAAGCAGGGGAAAGGACCAGGCCCTGCGGCTGCACCAGCTCAAGCGCAGCCCGACCAGCACGTACCTGTGAAGGAGTTCAATGCGAACGAGGTCAGGGACTTCCTCAAGAAGAGTACGTCTATGGCATTGCTGGAACACGATATGGCATGAGCTAATCGATTGCAGAATACCTTGAGAGCACAGCCAGTATGAACCTCTCCATCACCCGCGCGCATGTCTAGAGGACTAATATGCATTCAGACCAACCCTCGGTATACCACAAGGTCCCCGGCGACTCTGTTTCGACCCGAAGCACCGGCGCATGGGGCAAAGGAGGTAAGGCGTCATCGAACCACCACCGAGGCTGGCATACTGACAGAGACCAGGCACCATGACACACCTCATGCCGACCGGCCAGGACTTCTTCACACAGCTGAAGAAGCAGATCGCCAGTCTCGAGCAGACCAAACCCGCGCAATAATCGCATACACACCCGATATCCATTTCAGCGGCATTATGAGGGCATTACAGGAGTTCTGTGGGCATTGAATTGCATGGGTGCTATATGGCAGTACCTATAGCGGCATGAGTAAGGTCGTGTTCAGGCGTCTTGGAGTTTGTGAGCGTGTTTCGGCCCAGCTTAGGATGATCGCACGCGATACCCATCTTGAAAGTGTTTGGGGTTGAGGTTACACAGCATTGGAGAGCGTTCGGATGCAAAAGGTCGTATTGTCTGTCATGTGTCTGAGTCAAAACGTGCTATCAGCTATGAAGAACCCACGGTCGTTACTATATCAGACACAACTGCTGCGTACTAGTAAATGAGTGAAATACGAGCCTCATCGTATCAAGGTGACCTGCTACCAGGATACCCATACCCCTTTCACTCGTGCAAAGAAGGGTCCACAAGCCTTTGCGCAAGCCACTAATTCCAAACACACGGCAAGCGTCAACAAACACCAGGCTCGACGGCTGGACAGCAACCGAGGCTCCATCGTTGTTATTTCGCACGCCTTGACTGCACGCGCTCTATCGCTAAGCGGCACAAGCCACTTATCATCACGCATAGCACTTGGTACCTGAGGCGCATCTCCGCAGCCACAGCCAAGGCCGCACCATCGCTGAAGGTCTGAGGCCGTCAAGACGCCGATACCCCGCCACAGGACCTCCTATCCCAGCGCAATTACATAGACTTTTGGCGGCTTGTTAGGGCAGAGCCGCGTCGTGCAGGTGCTGCGAGGCTGACGCGCAGTGCGCGCCCTGGATCACGGTTCACTCCCGCGTAGATCTCCGACTGGGGACTCCTAATGCGGTCCGCCTTTGTTCATTTCCGCGACTTCACGAGCCTTCGACGTGTTCGGAACACCGGCGACTATCGCAATACCACGACAACGCCATGTCGTCCCCTCCCAGCACTCCCACCCAGCGGCCTGCATCTTCGCACCGCCGACACCCCTCCAGTCTAGACATGTCACACAACACCTCGTCGAGACGGCAGTCCTTCACCCGCCGCAACTCTGGCTACTCGCCCATAACGCCGCGCTCATCGCACGAATTCGAACACAGCCCCGCGCACCAATTCGACGGCGGAGGAGACGGCAATGGCTTGGGCAACTTGGCCGACGAGCTCGGCGAGATGTACGACGATGATGACGAGGGCATGGAGGGCGAATACGGCGAGGAACTGGACGAAGCACAGGACGAGAACATCGGCACGGCTGTAGAGCACGACGGCTCTTATGGAGTCGACAGCGCAGCTAGTCTCAACGGTGTACGGGATAGTGGGGTTGCCATGCAGGACTCGTCTCCGGCGCGCCTCAGTCCAGGATCGGCCGTTAAGACGAAAAAGCACACAAGGCAACGGTCGCTGTACGATGGCTCCGACTACGGTGACGACTCTGACCTGGAAAATGAGGGCATCTCGCCCGCGCTCGACGCGCGGATGGCGGCTATTGAGAGTCTGGCACGGAGAGGCATGGAGGAGAACGGGAGCGCGTCGGACGAGGTGGTGAAGAGAGTCACACAACAACTCCGAGATCTTGGCAGCCAGATTGCTATGGAGAACGGAGCGACGAGGTATGCTTTCATTTGCAGGCATATCGAGTCATTGCTAACAAAATCCAGACTGAAGACTGCCCATGAGGCTCTGACAACGCATCTGACACACCAATCGCGTACCCTCACGTCCATCGCCGTATCCTTCTCAGGCCCCTTCGCCATCCTTCCCGACCCGGAAGACATCGACGAACTACTCCCCATCATACAGACCACACTGGAGCTGCTACCCCACCCTTCCGCCGATCCGCTCGTTGCCATCTCCCACCTTACCCACTCGAGCCGCGAACTCATCCAACACCTCTCAAACGTCAGCGATACCCTACACATGTCACGGCAAACAACCGCAAATGCAGCCAGAAGGCTCAAAGTCAGCAAAGAACAATTGCAGGACTGGAAACGCGACAACGAGAAGACGCAAGAGGGACAGGAATATATTGAGCATGGGGACTGGGACCGACGACTCAAAGAGAGGGAGGCGAAACGGGCATGTGCGAATGTGCTGGACGGCTTTGAGGATGTCTGTGGGCAGTGGAGGAAGAGACTCTGCGAGGGTCTGGGCGTCGCGAGTGCGTAGATCTACCCTGCGTGTCTCTCTGGGCTGTTCTACCTCAGCGAGTCTTTTGCAGGGCTCTCGACTGACCCAGTACAGGCGCGGATGTCCCGGACGAGGACGCATATATTCGCCCTTCTTGGCATCCTTGCTCCGCCAGCACAGCGCCGGAACCGCCGGCAGAGTCAGACTGGTCCGACTGCACTCCAGTGAAGGCAGCGCCCAAGAAGCTGACTCAACAAACCAGCACAGACTCGATGTTTCCAAACTCTTCGGATGAGATGCATTGATCACCACTTCTTTTTCCTATGTTGTATTTGTTGCATTGATATGGCATGGCAGTAAGGTGTTTTTGGCGGCGGCAACTGATAGATGGAGAACCTGGTAATACCCCATTTATATCTATAGCTTCAGGACAAGCGCTTGTCTCATTTGTAGGAGTTGGGGGCCTTTTGATAGATGAAGAATGAAAGGCATTACAGTATTGCAGGTGGGGAGACGCTTTTGGAAGTTGTTGTTCGGATATGGCTAACTAGGAGATGTGCTGATAGTTACAGACGATACAGCTCATGCTAGCTTCCGGATCGAGCTCACGTCGCTTACTCCGGTACCTTCGACTACCTTCGCTTCGATGACCTCGTACACAGGCACCTCCTTGAGTCTCTCGACAATGTGATGCAGCGTTGGCAGCGCCTTCCAGTCTAGAGCATCGAAAGAGATCTCAGCCGAACTCGCCTTCAACGTCCGCTCGACCTTCTTCTCCACCGTCTTCGCATCCTCCTCACCCGGCAGAAAAGCGGTGTATTCCACATCCGCCTGCCCGCGCTCCTTGCTACCCATGTTACCAGTAGCCGGTACATACTTGTGCAACAAAAGGCCCTCGTCATTCGGAAGAGGAGGAGAGAGTCTTGGCGCCTCACCATTCGTTGCAGAATGTTCCTGCAGTCCGGACAGTGACATGCTGCAGAACTTGGATGACATCCAGCCTGCGTCTAGCGTCCATTTGCCGCCGTCACTCTTCACATCGAGCTCGGCGAAGAGCTTGGGGAAGCCTAGCTCCTCCCTTCCACTCAGTATGGGATCAGCCAGGTTCTCGAAGAGGACAGGCAGGTATGTGCCCGTCACCGTCTCGCCATCCGCTTTCGTGTGCTGGATACCGTGGATGTACAGCCCGAAATGACTGTATCCCCTGCCACCAAGCCACTCGAGATTGTCTAGCTGCGTCACCGCAAAACTCGCATAGCAAGCCGTATCGGCAGCCGCAAACTTCAACTTCTCTGTCGGCAACAGGTTCTCCAACACAGTCCTGCTCGTTTTAAATTTGATACTAGCAGTCTTGAACGTAGCCTTCGACCCATCTCTCGGCCGACCAGCGAAGTCTTGTCTCGGGCCTGGCATCGGACCAAAGGCCGTAGGCATTCGCCAGAACAGGCCTTTCTTGTTCTCCCACTCCCACTTGCGGAGCATTTGGCTAGAGTAGTCCCATTCGTCGTGGCCGAAGTTGTAGTTTGTGAACTTGTGGGGGTCGACTGGTGGGCCGCTGCCGAGATCCTTGCCTGCTACGCGGGAGTACTCTTGGATGGTGGAGGCGCGCTCGTATCTGCATTTTTCGTAGAGCTTGAGGCGTGCGGGAATGGAGTCGAGGGGTGTGCCTAGGGGGAGCATGACGGCGAGGGAGGCGGCATCTTCGATGGCTTGGCCTGCGCCTTGTCCTTGATCTGGGATGTGGTCAGCTTGGTTCTCGTTACTATGATGAAGCGAGGACTGAACTTACGAGGTGTGAATGGATGTGCAGCGTCGCCAATAAGCACAAGCTTCTCATCTGTCCAGGTCGGCAGTTGGTCCATGTCCAGCAACTCCCACACCTTCAACGTCTCCTCGTCCGCCATACCCAGCAACTTGAGAATCGCAGGCTCAAAGTCCTTGTACACATCCAACATCTTGTTCAGATTGCCCTGGTTCTGCCAGTCGCTACTCCCAGGCTCTTTCGGATCAATCTGACTCTCAGATGTCGGATGAATACAAACAAAGTTCAACAGTGTGTTGTTGGACGTCGGGTACACAACCACTCTGCGATCCCGCGCAAAGATCATAATGAGATGGCCCTCCTTCTCAGCAAACTTGCGCGTCATCTCATCATCCAGCGCCCGCTGTCTGGGGATCAGGAAACGGAACGCACTCTTCCCACTTCCAAACGTCTTGATGTTCTCCGCGCCAGGAATCCGGGGTCGAGTCTTGGAATGCACGCCATCTGCGCCAACAACAACGTCGCTCTGGATCTTCTCCCCATCTTCTAGCACAACAACACCCGCCTTAGCATCAACATCCACAACCTTCGCCCTCAATCTAAGAACAGCCGGCTTCCCCTCCCCCTCTTCACACGTAGCCAATCTCTTCAGCTCACTGTGCAGACTCACGCGATGCCCAAGCTGCCAGGGATGCTGCCACCTCGCCGCGTCGTGCTCGAGCGGCACGGTAAAGAGTTCCTTGCCATTCGGCAGCATCTGCGTCATCAGACGACATGCTACCGCGCCTTGGGCTTCTGGGACCATGCCCATGCGGCGGAGGAGACCGTTGGCGTTGGGTGCTAGGTGCACGGCTGCACCGAGTTCGTTGGCGAAACGGGAGGCTTCGAGGAGGGTTACTGTGTGCCCGCGTTGACGCAGGAAGATGGCTGCGCTGAGCCCGCCGATGCCAGCGCCGCATATTGTTATCTTGAGGGGTCGTAAGGATGGGGTTGTATGCCCGTTGATACCGTTGGTACCGTTGGTACCGTTCGTAAAGTCCATGATGGGTGTGTATGAGAGAAGCGTTGCAAGAAGCTTGAAGTTGCAACAGCACAGTATGAGAAGAGAGCAAAGAGTACGTCTCAA